TCGTTACCTTTTGTCTTTATTTTAACTTAATGGTCGAGAACTGCTCGTACTGTACTCCAAAAGTTCATCTAAAGCGTGGAGATACACATGATATATAGGTCAGGCTCACGACGTTCAAAACCCACGTGTTGGTTGAAACGGTCGACAGCTAACGGGTCTCGTTTTTAGGGCGCTTGGTAATAAACAAATAAACACGAAAGCAAAATGTGCGGTGGGACCAATTAGAATACTTTAGTGACTACGGTGGTGGTACTCGACGCTTCGTTATTTATCAATACAAAGTCAAAGTTAATTTTCATTTAATTATTCGTTACTACAAAACAATATGGATTACTTTCCCGTCTAATAGCACATTAAAATAGATGATAATATGTTACCGACTACTTTTGGCATTGACTAAGTTGCTATAGAAAACAAAATCGTGGAAAATTTCATCAAATAGCCCTCTATTCGAAGAAAATATTTTAGCACCTCCGAGTGTTGAAAGCCCACCAATGACAATAAACAAGACTTAACGTACGCAAAGAAGGATAACGTGCGGTCGGCTTAATGTAGCGATACACGTTAAAAATATCGTAAACTCGTGACGATAACATTTTTACAACATGTCTCATTTGATATCTTGTTCAACCTTGTGATTTGCACTCAATATTGAAAATATCAGTGTATTATGTACATGGATTTGATGAAATTCGAATACCGTCCCATGAAACAAAGTCAAAAAAATCGCGTGCTGATGCACAGAAAATTTGGGGCAAGATAGACTTTTTTTTCTTTCCGGTGCCTCTCTCCACTGGTGACCGGATGGATGCGGCGGACACTCGGTAATCAATTCGCTTATAGCGCGCAAACGATGTAACATATATATATATATATATAAACACTTATTCATATTTTGTAGATACGACTTCATAGAATAATATTATTTTTTCATTTGTTTCTTNTGTAACATATATATATATATATATATAAACACTTATTCATATTTTGTAGATACGACTTCATAGAATAATATTATTTTTTCATTTGTTTCTTTTAGGTATACGTATTTCTCTATGAATGAATCACGAGGTAATTTTAGCTTCGATGCGAAGATGAAAAAGTATTAATTTTACTATGATACTATTTTACTATAATTTATGTTTTTTTTTTTGTGTGTCTGTTGCTACTTTTTCTTACCTCTCACTGGATTTTGATGAATAATATGTCAAAAGATCACAAATAGTATCTAGTTGAAGACATTACCCTTAAAAATTGAAAATTTTCCCTTGTTCCCCGTAAATGGAAGATATTTCCAAAAAAATTACAATTTTTAAAATCGATAAATTTTAACATTTTTTTTTCTTAAAACTACCATATCTTTTTCAAAAATTGACAAATCAACTTATTTTTTTTTATATTGAAACCTCAGATATTTCCCTTTCATTTTATATCATTTTTTTGAAAATCTAACACTTAACCTGCTCACAGGAGGGGATTTAAAATAGCAATTTTTTTATGAAAATTAACTTTTTCAACATACCTTTTGAAATTGTTCCGGAAATACTGAGTCCTTTAATCATATATCAAATTAAAGCTTATGTCATGTACTATAAAATGAAAAAAAAAAATTTGTCCCGATTACTTAACTTTTATGTGCTATCTTCTTAAGATTTTTGATTTTAAATTTTCAAGTTTAAATTTATATAACTTTTAGAAAAATGTATGTACACACATTTTTTTTCTAAATACATTATATATACCTCTTTTATTTAACATACTTTTTATATAAATTGGATAATTTCCCTTTATATAGGGGGCGTTCAAAACTTGATACATACGTATAAAAAATAGAACTTTTTCAACTTAACTTTTGAAAATGTTCCGGAAATACTGCGTCCTTTAAACATATATCAAATTAAAGCTTTTTTTATGTACTATAAAATGAAAAAAAAAAATTTGTCCCGACACCTTATCTTCTATGTGCCTTTAAACAAAAGTCAAATGAAATCTTACAATAAATACTAAATAATAAGTTACAATAAGTTCAAAAAAAAAAAAAATTGCCCCGACACCTTTCTTCTATAGGAAAATGGTCGTCGAATTTAATGAAATTTATAATTTTTATGTTAAAGTCACTATTTAAAATTAAATATTTTAATACTTAAAACTGCCTTAACTTTTTGAAAAATTAACAAATTAAAACTATTTTTTTATATTGAAACTTTAGATATTTTTCTTTCATTTGACATAAATGTTTTGAAAATCTGACTCTAAACCTGCCCGCAGGGGAAATTCAAAAAAACAATTTTTGCACACAAGTTAAGCTTTTTCAATGTAATTGTTCCGGAAATATTGACACTTTTATTTAATCTTAAATTAAAGCTTATATTATTATTTAGAATAAAGTTCATAAGACATAAGAAGTTAAATTCATTTAAGTTTTTTTGCTTTTTTAAAGTCGAGAAAGGAACTTTAAAATTTGAATTAGCTTAAATGGCCAATTTTATTGATCAACGAAACTTATGAATTTAGATTCGAGATTTAAATCCGAGATTAACTTCGACTAACACTCACAGATAGTCGCTAATCACATAAACACTATAAACTTCGTCAATATAATATAAAAATCAACACTCTACTAGTCTTAGATGAAAATCTACATACGAAAATTGCACGATGACAATACACAATTATCAAAATTATTATTATTTAACAAATATTATTTTTATTTTTTAATTAATTATAGGGCTTGTGATAAACAAAATATATATATATAATAAACAATATATGTATATTATACATATATCGTTTATTACGTGTGTACATCGCGACTCGATTCCCGTTTTCTTTACAATACAGAACAATTTATATACATGTATACGCCTTCATTCGTATTTTTTTATTATTTCTTCGTATTCTCACCCAATCCTTCTCTGCTTTGAGCTTTATTTTTCCCTATCTCTAAACTACACTCATTTTACAATACATATATATATACGTCTTCTCAATTGCCAATCCCGATTCTTGTTTTTTATTGGTTTTCTGCGATCATTCGCCAAGCCGTTACGCTTACGCAGAGCTTTTACATATATATAAATAATATTATTTATTTACTTTTGTAACTATATATATATATATATATATATATATTAACTACACGTTGGTTGTTCGTTCAATTTTCAGTTACACTGTTGATCAATATAGCGGCTTTTACTGCTCTTCGGATAATTTTTTTTTTCGTTGTCCGTTTTTCTTTTCTTCAATTCCTCTAGAACTATCTCATACACTCCGCTAACCTAACACTCGTTCGCGGCCTTTCTAGTATCGCCGATGGCAGTGTGGAGAAAAGTTATTTTTCCTCTTTTAATAACGCGAGCACGACGACCACGTGCATAAACACAAATGTATATAGAAATACATTTCAATTTTTCTGATACAGCCGGTTGAGCGTTAATAATTGAAAAACAAAAAGTAGTCGGCATATAGCGACCTGGCAATAATATAAAAGTAATAATGGTAATAACATTTATGGCACTGTGATTTTCAAAACGTTTACTACGATGAAGAATCAAATACCAGATCGTCGATTCTCTTTTCTTTCTTCTCCGTTTCATTGTTATTGGTTCGATATAAATGATGAAAAATCGCTAACATTTATTAAAAATTTACTCTAATGGAAGATATTTGAACGAGTAAATCATTGTAAAGCTCCTTGAATTTATTATGCATAAACGCGTCGGCACGGCATAGTAGATCTTACAAGTGCACACGGTTCAAAGTGTACGGACAATAGATTAGGGTTAAATAGAAAGATGCGTCGGGCTGCATAGAAAAACGGATAGGGATGTATAGCAGGGGAAGAGCGGAATGCGAGAGTTGCCTCGAGGTAACGATGGTAGTATACTTACTAGGAAACGCCACCGGGGAGGATTCGAGACTGTAGTGGCGGCAGCGGCGGGCGG